TGTCTTTATTTGACCATGTTTGACTACAACAAATGTGTTTCACCAACGCATTTTCCAAGTGCATCACTTAAAACAGAGAAGCCTCTTATTGCGTCATAACTCTTAAATAGTTCCGGGCCACAGAATAAAGATCCATATAGAAGGACCTCGCGCATGTCGCATTACGCATGTTGGCCGCCATTTTCCTAGCCAGTCAATGACATTTTCTGGCCAATAAACGCGTTGTACTGGTTGGCTGCTCCGCCTTCTGGCCAGTAAACTGCATATTTTTGCATAAAAAAACGCGGACACGTTGCACCGCTGAGTGGCCCTTCTGTTACTGATCTTTATTCTGTGTCCGGGCATCCTGCTTTGACTTGACGTAATAGATACAATGACTCTGTTTAGCTTGAGTAATGCGATTTATCGCTCCCTGAATGCATGTAACAGGGACGGTGCTACAATCTTGGACAAAACCCTTGAAACCATTCCAGCCAATATTACCGAAAGTTATTGAACATTGACAAAACAAACTTTGTCTCCCCCTCCCCTCCAGTTCAATGTTGTGAACAACGCCGAAACAACTTTTGGTAATATACCACCAGACACAAGTCAACAATGAGTTGGGGTAGCGCTAGCCTGCTCACAGACGTTGTAGTTCTTACGCCAAGCGACGAAATACTACCGTCTGCTTACCCGAGCGGCATATTCAATTCCCTTTGATTTAGGAGCCAATCATCTGGCAGTGTTCAAAAACGTTAGAGCCAATTGGAAGCCGCCTTATTGAGAGATTAGCTACTGGGGAAAGCCCTTGCACATGCATTGGAATATATTGTTTGGGTTGAAACTTGAAATTTGTTTACTTGCGTGGATATATTTTGGAAACTATAGCGTTGAACTTCACGATGTTTACGTAGAATAATATTGTTATCATCTTCTCGCATGTTCAACAAACAATCGGTGTATATAAAGTGCTAAAGCAATGCAGTAGGCGAAATTAAAATTTTTGTTTATAACAATGACAAACAATCAATCGGGAACCAGGATATGTCCAAATGTTGCTCTTGATACTTCCTATATGCCATGACTTCGACGAAAACTTCTAAAAGATTAAGCTCTTATTGTCATGAAAAATCATGTCTGTTTTTAAAAAACGTTTTATTCCCGTTCCGTTCCACGTTTTAACCCCATATCCGTTCCGTTCCGCATTTCCGTTCCGCATTTTAACCCCATATCCGTTCCGTTCCGCATATCCGTTCCGTTCCGCATATCCGTTCCGTTCCGCATTTTAACCCCATATCCGTTCCGCATCCGTTCCGTTTCGCATCCGCTTCCGCGTTTTAACCTAACCCGTTTTCAAACGACAAAAGTTAACGAACAAACTCTACGAACAAACTTTCGTAATTCCATACTCAACTGGAAATCGCAGTATTTCGTCGCTTGGCGTAAGAACTACAACGTCTGTGAGCAGGCTAAATACCGCCCACACCCACACTCCTTGGGGACCTAATAATGGACATACATGAAGTATGCAAGTCGACATGAGAACACGTGAACACAGAATAAGAAGTTATACCAGAAGCGTAACTCTAGTCGTTTCCCTTATTGTTTGACGTCCACGAAAATTTTTAACTCGCTCACGTCAGGCCACGCCATCCTGGCTAGTACAGCCGGAAGTTTTTATCAGGATTTGGTAGGTACAAAGTGCCGGTTGTACTAGCCAGGATGGCGTGATTGATGACGAATCGCTTGTAAAAATGAGGACAAACCACTGAGCTATACTATATTACTGGAGGACCTGCTCGGGAAAAAAAAGTGAAGCCAAAAACATGGCGGATCTGACGCCATTGCCATGACTACTGGTCCCTAAATTCATGGCAACTACCACTGTCCCAACCGCGATCCTAAGTTTTCGACAATGTACTTCACCCCCCTGGTTTCAGCACAGATATTTTATGATTTCGCTTGTTTTTGAGGTAAAAATCGCACTGAAAATCTTGATATTTTTCTCCTATAACTTGGTTGATTTACAATGTTGAGGATCCTGCCTTTTTGCGCCGCTCGTAGATGTATGAGATGTACAAGAAGAATCTTTTTATTCACCGGTAAGATTTTTATATATTGTAGAAAATTTGAAGCAGAAGTACAAACTACAAAGTTTATAATACTACGAACATAAAAGTATATGAACAGCAAATTATTAGCAGACATAACAACCTGTAAATGGTTGGCAATTCTGTACATTTTATTGTTCTTTTGATTTGGTGCTACTACTGCTATAGCGATATTTGCGTAGGGTTTCATGGCTGGTTAATATGATTTCAAAGTCCTTGCTGTAGTGTCTGCACACTTGTATTTATTTAGTATTTTAGTATATTAAATTTTCCTTGACAAACTTTGAGTGATATCCTTGCCAGGTTCTTGCCAGCAGTTGTTTATAATTACTGTGTAGTTATATGAAATCTCACTTACATCGAGGGGCAATTCACTCCAAAAATCCCGTACACTTCGTCAAAAAATCCAGAAAAAATCCATGAAATCCTCAAAATCCGTTGAATCCATCAAAATACGAAAAATCCTTTAAAAACCACAGAAATCCTTCAAAAATCCACAGAAATCCTTCAAAATCCTCAAAAAATCCGCAAATCCACAAAAAATATATGAAGTACTTGGTGTAATTTACTCGTAAAGGTTCTTTGCCACGTTCAAAATGGCGGACAGCGAAAGCTATTACGCTTATCGTGATCGCTGATTCGCTGTCATTATATTTCGTAATTATTGGACTACTCTACATTTCCATTTATACGCTCGCTTTTTTTAGCCTATTACTACTAAATATGTGTTCTTGTTACAATGACGTTATGTTGTAAAATATAATTACAAAACCAAAAGTTATTCACCATTGTCTTTTACTGTTTTTGAAAGAATAATGAACTCGTTTGAATTTTAAACAAAATGACTACATGCCCAGCCTTCGTTAGTTTCTGAAGGGTGTGGTCCTAGTCCCAGTCCTCTGCTCGATCCTGACGTCCTGGCATAACGTTGACGTCGTACAACTTAAGATTATTTGTTCAAAACGTTACCTAGCTCTATAACTCTATAATTTAAAAAAATCCAGAAAAAATCCGGAAAATCCAAACAAATCCGGAAAATCCAACAGATTTTCAAAAATCCAGAAAAAATCCGAACAAATCCGGAAAATCCGAACAAATCCCGAAAATCCAGCAAATTTTCTCTTCAAAAATCCGCTAAAAAATCCGGGAAAAATCCGCTAAATCCGCTAAAAAATGCGCGGATTTTTAAAAATCCGAAAATCCCGTACGCTTTTTTGGAGTGAAATGCCCCTCGACTTACATGACATGTAGACAAGTGAACAAATACTTTGCTAACTAGGCGGCTAGGCCAAAGACATCAGGTTCAAACCATTCAATACCCATTGCAATCAAGCAATTACCATAAACATATAAGCCCCCCCTCCCCCCCAATATAAGCCCCCCTGTGTATAATCCCATCATATTTACTCAGGCTATTCCGAATATAAGCCCCTCCCCCCTCTAATGTAAGCCAGGCCTGTGTGTACAAGCCCATGGGCTTATATTATTTGACAAGGGCCGGTTGTATCAAGCCCGTTTAGCTTAATTTCTCATGAATCAGTCAACTTAAATATTCTGCAATGAATATGTAGTTGTAAACATCATTCTATTAAGGTTCAAAACTTCTAGTTTGGTTGTTGAATGAATCTATAGAGTCTGAGTTGCTTTGTATTTTGAGCTTAATCAACGTTTAAGCTAAACAGGCTTGATACAATTGGCTCCAGGTATATTTATTAATGCAGCTTCAGCCATACATATTAGAATACAAGCCCAGGGCTAGCTGGCTTACATTCAGAGGCCGGTTTACAATATCTCGCCCAACATATAGTTTGTCAGAGTTCTATAAATTCCACAGTCATTAGAGGTAATATAGGAATGAAAGGTGCACAATATGTGTGCCAGTCACCTTGGCATTGACCGGCCAACCTTATGCTCTGACAATTAACCTAAATTGATTGATGATATGTTTGAGAGCAGTTTCAGTGGTGGTGTCCCCAGTATTGGAGTAGAGCTCAAATTTCAGTTAGATATATTATTTGTGATTGTTGTGAACCTTCTCACTTAGATCATTTGTGATATATTGTAATTAAATGTAAAATGAAACTTTGGGAAGTTAAGAAATACAATTAATTGACAAGACTGTCCCCTTGACAAGTAAAATTGTCAGGCATTAGACTGCCTGAGTAAAATAATAAGCTTGGGTGCAATTAACTGCTGTATGCTTTAAAGTTGGTTGCAAGCTTTAAAGTTGGTTGCAAGCTAGCTGGGCTTATAAATGCCAGAACTCATATGTGAAAAATGCTTGGATCAATTTATTTCATCCGTAATGAACCCATTTTTAATCCTTTAAGTGACAGTGCGCCCTACTACAATATTTTACTCCGTCCAATGCCAGACGATTTTACTCGTCAAGTTGAGAGTGCTGCCCCTCAATGGGTTCAGTTGCATTGCACCAATGCACCCTACTGTATATGTTCGTGTTACTTTGTCTAACGCCAACAATTTTACTTGTCAACAAGAGAGCGCAGTGGTACGTGCTGAATGGGTTAACATATAAATAATGTCCACTCTACAGTAAATTTCCCTGTAATTGAACTTTGGAGCCTGGTATATGTGACTCACTATTTCTTCAAAGTGTGTTCTAATGATACTAGCTGTCACTATTTTATAAATATAATTGACATTTCTCATTTAGGGTGATCCGGGATGTAAGTCATGTGGACAAGTTCTTTGGCATGTTCAAATAACAAGAATAGTGGTGTTATAGTAGTGGTGGCACTTGCCAGACCTACCGTAACTGGAAAAACTAACAATGACTTTTCTCCAAAGTCTTATATCAGGCTTTTTTTCAGGGATTTTTTAGGGCCGTTAAACGGCCCCAAAAACTCAATCTTGAATATTTGAGTTTTGAAACTCAATCTTCTCGCCAAAGTTTCAGTGCAGTAAAAATGAAGTTGTTTGAGTTAAATTCGTGACGTGTGGAAATTAGTTTTCAGTTGGAAACCCGACAATTAAGAAAAAATGGCTGGAATTCATCTCACAACACAAGAAAAACTATGCATTCGCCATCGTTAACCAGTTTATAGTGTCCCTCAATGCCCCTGCTTTAACACATTCCGTCTCAACTACATTTGTTGAATACAAGTGTCAGCCCCCTGGTAGGGGGGGTGGGGTGTGCAACCACCACAGCTGTTCAGCTAAACTCAATTTTCTCTGCAAAAACGGACCCAAGAGAAAATCCTGAAAAAAACCCTGTTATATGTACTACAAGAAATGGCCCAAGGCATCAAAACAGGAGACAGCCAAAGAATCACCCATGGAGCTACAGTTATAATAATACTCTATCACATATTGTAACTTGATTGTACAGTTATAATTATTAATTTGATAATTATTCTTTGACCAAGTTTAATTAAAATAATACAAAATTAATCATGATTTTGAACAAACATGTTGCAGCTTGGTACTGAGTTTCATTAACAGACAACAGTGGCATGGACTCATGCATTGTTGGAAAATTCTGCATCTCTATTGTTTTGACAATATTTTCATGACCAATTTTGTTGTTTTGACTTCATTTTGACCAAGTCAGTCAGGTGAGGATCTATCTTGTCTAACATTTAGAGATCTTGTCTTGTTCAAGTGAGATCTCAAACTGAGCCAGGTTATCCATGCAAATTGAAAGGAATTTCCACTATAAAAATATTAAAATAACCACACAGTGTAGTCTCGCTTACTGCAATATGGCAAAACTAGAGACTCACAATTAACTTAATATTTGAGGGATGGGGCAAACAAGCTAATGGCCTTTTAAAGACACATACAACAAACTATCATACAAATGATACAATACAATACAATCAGAGAGCACGTATTAAAACTACAATGTACAATTCTGGATATAAAACATGCCCTCTCACTTCAGCTGGCCCTACTAGGCAGCCAAGCTTTTTCCTGCACCAGTTCACCACAAGCTCATGCATAACAAAACCCTTGGCTAAATATATAAAACCTTAATTTCCTCTTTAATACACCAGAACATCATAGTTTCATCATACATGTACTGTTGCGCAACTTGATATTGCGAGGAATGAAACATTACATAAAGTTAATACAGTAAATACAAAAAGGTTTATCTACAACCACATTATAAACACTTGTGGCTTATTTTCTAAAAAATAGAGTACATTTTACCATTTATTCCTAACATTTTTTCATGAAATACTAAAATAAAAATGTGAATTTTAAAATGTTTACCTGTTTATAGTTGACTGCATGTTTATAGACTGCTGTTTATAGCCCGGCTTGAAATATCCATTTCGTTTTTGTCCACATTTTGGGAGGTTTTAATAGTTGTTTGTTGTCTTTCACGGACGGGAATAACGTGTACGACTTTCACATCCTTGAACAAATGGTCAAACGTCGAAAAAATATGTCGAAAATAACAAAACAACAAGAATTCACTGCAAAAATCCGAAATATTTTTTTCGGAAACCAGGGGGGTGTGAAAACTGTGGCGGGCTCGCAATTGAGCCTTGTTCAGTGGCAAATACCATGAATTTAGGGACCAGTAGTCATGGAAATTGGCGTCATTTTCACTCAAAATCCGCCATGTTTTTGGCTTCACTTGGTTGACTGAACGAAGTATAGGAGCAGGTCCTCCAGTTATTATACAGCTCAGTGGGACAAACATTTGCTCGAGTTACGCTTCTGGTATAATTTCCTATTCTGTGACGTGAAAGCGAAAGACATTTAACTGATCATATTTGGATTCTAAGACAACAAAAAAATTGGATCTAAAATGCCTTAAATGCTTTAAATCGATATTTGCAGGTAAGATATTTGTTATTTATACTATTGTTCAACACAAGGTAGACGTTTGTAACTTTAAATTCTGTTATTTTTTTAAAAACATGCCAATATACTGGCGATACGAAGCTTATAAATATTTAAATGTGGCGCGAGTTTTAAACGACAACACGAGCTGAATATACAGTAAATATAGAACTAATAATTCTTCGTAATTTGCAAGTAATTGTTCGGGTATTTAATGTAAAAAGCGATTGAAATATAATATAGCAACAATCTGTTATAAATTAACAATTTTAGTTAATATTTATATATTGAAATTGAATGACAATTATGACATTGAGCATATAAACATCATTAACATGGGTCCTACTATACTGTCCAGGAAAGCCTGTGAGAGCATCCAGGGATATACAAGATAGTATAGATCAGCATACGATCTTTCCTGAGTTTCTATGAGGCATTATATTAATGAAAA